TATTCAGATAGAGCACAACTAGATGCTTATGCGCGCACAGACAGATCAGTTGAAGAAGTAGATTGGAAGATAAAAATGAGAATTGAAAGGTACCAGAGTGTATGTTCTTATATTTTTGACCAATACTGTATGTATATATTCCTTATATCGTTAATCAATTAATCAACTAATCCATTAAATTGAATTATAATTATAAATCAATATATATATCTTCAAACTATATATATATATATTATTTCGTTTGTATGAGCTTGTTAGAATTTCATTCGATGTTATTTACAGCTATATTTCTCACAGATCCATCTTTAATAGGCGTCTTAAATGATCACATTGAACTGAATTACAGAAGTCTACGCTTGTCTCAGTGTCTGAAAAAACTTTACAGTGTTTCTTTCGAAATCATGTTCTTCTTTCTATTGATTCTAAATGCTATTTTTACCAGACCTTAAATAAGAATCTTACTCACTTTGTTTTTGAAGTTTTTGTACAGAACTCGTGTTACAAATAAATCTTCACTTAAACAGTAATTACAAAAATCTGATATGAATATGAAGTAAAAATAAAACTAATAATGGTTATTATCATATTCAATCATTTTTCATAGAAAAATGAATAAAATCAAAAACTGTCTATTGATAATGTGTTTCATACTTGGAGCCTTTATGTTTCAAAAGAAAATATGTTTTATTAGTTCTGTATTTAGATTGCCTTTCAAACGAAAACAATACTGATAGAAAATATATATGAGCCTCTCGAAAGTTTGCATACAATAGCGATAACTTGCAATCATGCTGATTGCACCATATGGTCTCAATTAATCATACTGATTGCACCATAGGGTCTCAAGCAATCATATGTCAGAGTTATGAGCTTCGTCGTTTTTCTATACATGTTAGTGATCTTTGAGCAAACAAACGAGAGCATACAGATCAGCCGATGCTTTGAAACAAAATATTCTCTAACGTAGTCTACATATAAAATAACGACCATAGATATGGCAAAACAGAATATTCAATAAAACGAAGACAAAAATAAAAATACGGTGAATTCTATTGTTCTATTTTTCTCCATAAAAATCTCAATAACTATTAGAGAAACAAATCACAGAAAGAACACGCAAGTAAACTAACTTATTGCATTCTTCTAGTGAATTCCTGGACAAATACAACAGAAATAAATCAGGGAGAAGAATTAAGCTAAACAAATATATTTGATTTTCCCCATAAGATGCAGAAAATGATAGGGGCAATTCAGAGAGAAAAACAAAACCATTCTGTTTGTTTTCCTTCATTATGATGCTCGACAACTATCCGATAACTTAATGAGAAAAAGAAAACTAAAGTCACTGCTTTCATTATAATGCTCTAAAAAAAGCATCCTCTAACTAATACGCAGATTAAACGAACAGGGTGTGTGGGTGTGGGTGTGAGTGTGAATATGGATGTGACTTAATCAAACCCACCCACATCCATAATCAAGAACGCATCTAAGAAACTTTATCAAAGTTGACATCAATTGCGCTTTTGATACGCTACACGTTGATGAATTTTTGTTAGAATTTGATTTATGTAGCTCAAAATATTTGAAAAACACGAACTTTTCAAGCTTCAAAAACGTTGCAAGAACTTTTCTAGAGATGCTTTGTTTTTTATGTTTTTTCCTTCTTAGACTCATTCTGGAGAAATATATCTCATGAAAAATTTGTAGTTCAGACATGACTCTTTCGAAAAAAAAACTTAATTGGCTTAGAAGTTGGCAATATGCCCTACCAGAGTGTGACATTTTTCTAAAGACTTTTGCATAGCTCATCATCTCCAACATTATGTCTGAATTGCGTTCTCTGAAAAAAGTTTTTGATATTTTTCAGTAATGTTGATCACTAATTATAGCAAAACATTTTTCACGACACGTGTTTTACTCTTCAAAGTATATTTCACCATATAAATAAAAATTTTACGGAATGCGCGAGTTTCAAATGTCAGGTTCAGCGAGTCTGTGTTAACAATATTCTATTTTTGATAATAAACTCAACGTCTTTCTTCCTTTCTTTCTTTCTTTCTTTCTTTTGGATAAACTGTTTCAAATACAAGGTCTTCAATATAAAACGATATTCAATAATTGCTTTTTAATGTGTTCTTCGTGGAATTCTTTATTTATATTGTTTCACAGTTCATTAGACTTTATTTATTTTCTCGTTATATGTATTCAGTTTGTCTCTTCTACTGTAGATAACATTTCTTGAACACCAGATTTTTGTTATCAATGTGTATTGTGATCTTTGTTTTTGCAAAAAGCCAACTCCTTTAGAAGTTGACCACCATATATCGTATAGACTCCCTAATATCGAAAAAATGGTTATTATTTTTGTGATTAATTGCATCATAGTGAGCTTTTTCTGGCATGAATCATTTATGTAGTCACAGTAGTTTTGTCTGAATTAACGATAAAAGGATATCTAATCGTAAAAGGACACCGACAGAATGGACAGTGAAACGAGCACAGCAGGGAAACACATCGTCAAATATATTACATACCATATAATTTTTCCAGCAAATAGCATTATTTTTTTCTTGCTCTCTTATTTCTTCTAAAGTACATCACATTCTTATAGACTACAAGAATAACTTTTGAAGAAATTAAATCCTACATACTAGAATGAACATCATAAACATTGGAACTCTAGTATCGATACACAAAAGTTGTATAAAAAAAAAAAAGAAAAGATCTAAAGCGTTTTATTAATAATGTTTAGAGACATTGGTGATATATTATAACTTACCTATCAGATATATGTGAATGCAAGCGACTAACACAGAACTAATGACTCAATTATCACTATAGAATAAGCGACTCAGTAATAGATACAGAAAATATCTTATGGCGAGAGCAGCAAATGTTCTCTTGATTATTGACTACACATCAGAAAAGCTTTTTCTGCTCACTGTAAAGAACGTCCTTTTATCCAAGAAAATCGGATAGATATCAGTTCTCTCACAAATGGGACATTTGTTATTGTTAATTGACATTGGATGTTGTCCACATACTGTTCTGCATATATGTTTGACTTGGTATAAACAAATGGAGATAAACTAAACAATGTTTGTTTTTTTTCCATGAGTAGGAGCCCTTATAATTATCGTATCCATTTCTTACATAAAAAAACACCGAATAACAAGAAGAAAAACTTTCTTGTTACGAGATAAATGATTCACAGCGTGTTCTCTTCATTATAATTTTTCTTCTTGAATTACAAGAGCATTTTATCTCCATATGTGTTGTTTGTTCCAAAATAGTATCTACCCGTATTCCAGTCTTCATTTGACATAATTTAATTCTCATCTTTTATTTTATTTAATTTAATTTAAAATTTTTAAAATTTAAATCAATTTAATTTTAGTTGATATTATATTTTATTTATTTAAATTAGAATTAAAACTTTTATAAAATGTGACGTTTCGTATCTCGATAAGATACTTCATCAGACATAAAAATTTAAGACAAATGACATGTACATACAAACGAATTTTTCTTTCCTTTTAGTATTAGTTATACTTTTGATAGTGATACGGAAAACAAGACGGTAATAGTAATAGCTAGCTAAGGATTGAATCCTTTTCCGTATCACTATCACCGTCTTGTTTTTCGTTAAGTTTTTGTTCTTTTGTATTTNCATCGATAGAATCGCAGCGAGATGCGATTTCAGTTCGAATCGCGTCTAAACGCAAAAAATGTTTCACTGGAGACGCGATTTCAAAATAAAACGCATCCAGACGCGTTTGAAGCCTTATTTGAACTTCGTTCAGACGCGATTTGTACAAAATCGCATTGAGACGCAACTTTTAATGGTTTTTCACCGCGCCTAGACGCGTTTCACAAAAAAAACGCGGTTAAACGCACAAATCTTGCGTTTCGTGTTTACATGGGAAGAATAAAACATATTTTAATGATCTACATATCTTCGATTTTTTTCTATTTATCAATATCAATATGTATTGATCTATCACTCCAGTTTATCAGCAATAGCAATGCATCAATTCATATATATAGATATCTATTTTTGAGACGAGCATTTCTTCGAATGGTTAGAAAAAATAAACTATGGGTAAGAATAAAATAAAAACAAAAGAACATCCTGCAATTGAAACACTACAATAAGCGATGGATGTCAACGCGCCATCTAAAGTTTACTTCAATTAACAGATGTTACATTGATCTGCGTTTTTGTGTAACTTCGTAACAGAACAAAAAGTACATTAATTAATTGGATTACAATCTCTTTCTATATACCCAATTTTCTCTTTTGTTCAATCAGATGTTGTATAATTGATATTCAATTTTCTTTTTTTCTTTAACATCTATCTTCTTTTTCTGTTCTACTACTTGATATTTCGTTGACACAGAAATTTTCTTTTGACATTCAGTTTATAAAATGAGTAAAACCTCTCACAAGGGTAAAGATCAAACTCTGAAGTGTTTGACGCAAACCGATATTCGAAATTTTATCAGCTCTCCAAATGATAAATCTATTACATCAATTACGTCTTCTGTTACGGCATTATCAGTAAATGAAGTGCTTGTTGCAACAACATTTAGTAATGAATCAAATCACACAGCAATTGTTCACACATTCGAGGGTGACTCGATTTCTAGACCAGATTCCAATGATACAGTTATTGAAACTTATCAAGAGATACATGCAGTCAATCAATCACAAGAAGATCGATATATGGAAGATGCCATGGAAGTTGATGGTAAAGATGAAAAACAAGTAGTCAATTTTTACAATCTTTTTAATTTTAGAGTCAAACGAACGTATTTCAACATCAATTTCAGGAACTCAGCTGCAACATAATGAAAATCTAAATTATGAAATTGCAGTTAAAGTTCATTGCATTGAATCTATGCTTCATCAGTGTGCTCATCTTATAAAACAATCTACAGCAACAAATGTCTCACATGAAGAATTTGTGAAAAGTGTCTATAACTATGCAACTAAGCTTGTTAATAGTTCCAACGAATTACTGCAGCTGTGCTCTCAGAGAATCGATCAACTGAATAAAGATCGAGAAAATATTTCGTTAGTTGAACCAAAAACTCAAACTTTTATAGAACGGGATCCTGGTAAGGCTTCTCATATGATAAAATTTATGTCTCTATTAATTCTTTAATATTCAAACATTCCTTTAGGCAGTTATTCTGCAATTTACAACTATACATTTGATGAACGACGTTATCTTGTTGATATTGGTCCATTTCAACCAACTTTGTCAGATTTTCCAAAAAATAGTACCATGGCAGCTGCGAAACATACATGCAAATTTGCTAGTAAATGGTACAATGAATTTCCAATGATCGAATATAGTATTAAAAAAGACGCTGCGTTTTGTTTCGTATGTCGACTGTTCCATGAAGGTAGTATCATCATATTTATATTATTTATCATTGTCAAAATTTCTTTTATTTTGTTTTCACTTAGGTCCTGGTAGTCAAAAGAAAGACAGGGCTTGGATTGATGTTGGGATTAATTGTTGGTCAAAAATGAAAGGACGAGGTCGTAATAAAAAAGGTCGGTGTTGGTATAATTTTCTTTGCATTGTAATATTTTTAATTTCTCATTGAAGGAAAATTAGAGGAACATTTTTCATCAATTTCTCACGTAGCATCTCATGAACGTTATTTGATTTTCAAAAACAAATCCTGTAACATTGACAACTTACTCAACAAAAATTGGCACAAAGCTCAACAACAAGAAATTGCAATATTTCAAAGAAATAGGAGTATTATTACCACATTAATTGATTCAGCTCGATTTCTATGCCGTCAAGGTTTAGCATTTCGTCGAGAACCAGCTGAAGAAGGTAAATAAATTCAAACGATAACGCTGGATTGAACGGTTGAAAGATTTGATTAGTTTCTTTTGGAATACGAACTCCAATTTCGAATTAGAATTAGCATATGCTTTTTGTCTCGCTTAACTGAATAAATCAATTACTTTGTTCGTGTATATGCAAAGTGAAAGTAACTGGTAACGTACTGAGAATGTAACAGAGATGCTTGGTGTTAAGGTTATGTGTTGGATGGTTTGATTGCAAAAGCATAATCTATAGCAATTATTTTCTAGTTTTAGAAAAAATAACTTTCATGTTGTCATGTTTGAATTAAAAATTATGTAAAATTTGTAGTATGCAAATCGATTTTTCTATCTGTGCTTAAACAGATATAAGTTACTTAGCAACATATGGTTATTTATAGCAATAAACAATTCAGAGATGAAGATTAGTCGTTCTGTACAATTTACTTTGGATACAACTCTTTATTGACGTTTTAGGTAATTTTATCCAATTGATTAATCTTTTACGACGTCGAGATCCATTGTTCGATGATTGGTTTAACCAGAAACAAATTGAGAAGTATCAAGTAAGAAATATAATATTTGTACTACCAAATAAGTATAATATTACAATTAACATTTTAAACGCAGGTATCCTATTTAAGTGCGCAATCACAAGATGAATTCATTAAGCTGTTAGGCGAATATGTCCAAAAAAATATAATTAACCGTCTTAATAATTCATCATTTTATTCAATTATGATTGATAGTACTCCAGATGCATCGCATCGAGAAATTTATACTATTGTTGTAAGATATACAAATAATTTCAGTGTTGAAGAAAGACTCATTACAGCAATTGAATTACCAAGCAAGTTTGGTATTGATATATGTAATATGCTTTTTGATGTTTTAAAGCAGTTTAATATTTCATCTGAAAAATTGATTGCACAGTGTTACGATAATGCGAACAATATGTCTGGCGTTAACAAAGGTGTCCAAGCCTGCATTACTGACAAATTACAGCGTGAAATAATTTGTATTCCTTGTGGTGCACACTCATCTAATTTGGCAGTTAAACATGCTTGTGACTGTGACACACAATTTATTTCATTATTTTATCTTCTGCAAGAAATTTATACTTTTTTCACTTCAAGTATTAAACGCCATTACGTACTTCGACAAGAGCTGGAATCTTCTGAATACGGCTTATTGATAAAAAGGCTTGCAAGTACACGATGGGTAAGTGATAGATCGTTCTATTTAATTTTTTAATTAAGTCTTTTTTTTGTAGACTGAAAGTTTCGAATCATTACATGCTGTTGATGTTTCATACGAACAAATAGTCGAAAGTTTATCGATAATTAGTGAACAAGTGACTAATAAAGATGCTGCACATCAAGCCAAATGTCTTAAAGAGAGATTATTAACATCTGAAATCATGTTATTGTTGTTTTTTATGGTTAATGTAACACGTGTAACTCATTCACTAACTTCTTACTTGCAAGGAAAACAAATTGATATTATGTCTGCAATTGAAATAATTTCAACTACTTTGCAACTTATTCAGAATATGAGAAATGATGATGCTACTATGAATAGTATGATTCAAGTAAATAAAACGATTATTACTACTAACTAAAACATGATGTCTTAATCTTGTGATTTCTGCAGCGAACTGCTCAACGTGCAAAAAATTTTGACATAGATGCTGATATTGAATTTCAGAGACTTCACAGACCTCGACAAAAGTCTCGCCGTATTGATAGCAATTGGCATACCAGTGTTGCATTAACAAGGTAAATAATTACTATTTACAAACAAACACATTCTTTTGAAATTTGCAGAGACCAATATTATTTAAAATTAATGCGTCAAGTACTAGATCAATTGTACTCTGTATATAATGATTATCTTATCACAATAACAGATAAGTTACGTTTTTTAAATAATGTTACACCAGATCGTATATCACAATTTTCATTTAGTGATGCTGAAAAATTATGTGCCATAATACCTAAACTTTCTTGTCCATCATTGGTTTTCACGGAGTTTGAACTACTACGTCCAGCTATTTCCACCTGCACAACAATCGACGAAGTTATTGCACATTTAAGAACAGTTGGTCATGTGTATCCTCGTGCATCGCTTGTTTATAATTTTCTTATCACATTACCGGTTTCAGTAGCATCAAATGAAAGAAGCTTTTCCAAAATGAAAATCATCAAAAATTATTTGAGAAATGCGCTAAAAAATGAAAAGTTCGTTCATTTGATGCTGTGTGCTGTAGAAAATGATTTGCTTTGTACAGCAAACCTCGACAAGATGGCTGATGAATGGGCTCAAATGAAAAACCGACGTATACAAATAAATTATGACAAATAATATTCTTTTTCAAAGTTTTGAGCCTTGTTAATAGCTGATCTTTGTAAGATATTTATATTTGATAATAAAATAAAAATGAACACATGTTTATTATGAAATGAAATTAAGTACATGTTCTTCCTCATGGATCATATTTGAGTTGAATAACCTCACAGCTGAGATCAAGCAAAAATTTATTTTTGAATCAGTGCTAATTGAGAACTTTTCACCAAATGTCGAATTTCCTCCACCGCGCCCCCCCAATCGTAACTAAGTCGCGACAGCCCTGTATAGACTACAAGAATACATTTTGAAGAAATTAATTTCTGCATACACATAAGACGCGCATCATTAAAATTAGAAATCTAGTATAGATACACAAAAGTTGTTTAAAAAAGATCTAAAGGGTACTGTTAGTAATTTCTAGAGACATTTTTGATACATCATAACTTACCTACCAGATATATGTGAATGCAAGCGACTAACACAGAACTAGTGAATCGACTATCACTATAGAATATACGAGCTAGTAATAAATATAGAAAATATCTTGTACTTAAAGAAGAAAATATACTCTCTTGATTACCGACGACGAGTTAGAAATGTTTTTCTCTTTTCACTGTAGAAAACGTTGTTTTATCCATGATAATCAAGTAAATCTCCGACCTCTAACATAAAGGGTGTCCCATAGTAACTAAGGATAATTTTTTATTCGTATTTTTCATAGTTTTTCTCAATGTAAAAGGCTTAAATTTTTATCACATATACCTCTGATCCAGCTCTCTAGCTATAACTAGTAGTAAAATACATCGACAAAACTGAATACATAAATTTTCGTAATCGATTTCGCAGAGTAGTTCCATGCATAGCCAACCAAAAACTAACAAAGTATCCAAAACATTTCTTTCCCATAATGCTTTGTAGAGATTTTTTTGCTGATCCTTTTGATAAAAAAAGATTATGAATTTCATTGAGAAATAACAATGTTATGATCAAAATATTTATTATAAAAACGGAAGATGTCAGATCTTTTTTGATAGAAATATCGTTTACAATGTTCAAACGTGATTTATTCATTCTATTCGTCTGTATCTGAGAAACCGTCTGTACGGTTTTGTAGAGCAAACTTTCCTCTACCAAAGCTTCTATGTCACATTGCTTCAAAAAATAGCCATTCTGAGATATATGAATTGATTTTTCCTTACATTTTAAGCTATTTTACAGTGCTTTATTTTTTAACCATAACATTGTCACTTCTGAATGAAATTCGAAAACTTTTTTTACCAAAATGAACAGCGAAAAAAGCTCTACAAAGCCTGATACGAAAGAAAAATTTTTTGATACTTTGTGATTTTTTGGTTGACTACCCTTAGAACTACCTTACAATATTTTTGAAGTAAATCTATATGCAGAAATCGATTACGATAATTTATGTATTCAGTTTTGTCGATGTATTTTACTACTAGTTATAGCAAGAGAGATGGATCAGAGGTATATGTGATAAAAATTTCAGCTTTCTACGTTGAGAAAAACTATGAAAAATACGAATAAAAAATAATCCTCAGTTATTATGGGACACCCTTTATGTGCTATTGATTATCGTTAATTGACATTGGATGTGGTTCACATTATGTTCCGCATATACGTTTGGGTTGATACAAACAATTGGGGATAATCTAAATAATGCTTGTTTTTCTTCCTTGACTAGAAACCTTTTTAATAATAGTGTTGTTTTTTTACAGATATCAACATTTAATAACACGAAAACAAAGCTCTCTCGTTACGAGATGAATGATCCACAGCGTCTTCTCTTCATTATAAGTTTTTTTAATGGCAAGACCACTCTTATCTCCATATGTGCGTTGTTTGTTCCAAAATGATGTTTACTCTTATGGCAGTCTTCATCGTTTCCTGTTACATGTGATTATTAACTTATTATATAGAATCTAGCGATAACCAGATTTTTATCGTCGATGTGTCTTGTGTATTCTTTTTTTTTAGATAACTTCTCCACGTAGATTCTTAAGTATTGTTCTTATACTGTTTATTTTAGCATTTATTGTATATTTATTTCAATAATTATCTTTGAAGTCTACAAAAATGTTATTTATTTTTAAATACGAAAGAAAACACGAGAAAAGAATTGTAAAAGGATGACTCGCAGTTTCACTATTTTTCATTAAAAGAGATTTGTTTCAGATTTTATTTTTATATTAATCAGAGTAACTCATTAAGTACTTCTGACGGGTAAAAACGTTCAAATTTAACTCTTCAATTTATTGTGCTTGGGGTTTCCCTTCAGGAATAGAGAAAAATCTTTTGTCTCGAATTCTTATTTCTTATACATGTTGATGTAGAACTCGTTATGCTGATCACGAATGTCATACTTTTATCAAGACTCGATCGACTGATAAGAAATTTATCATTCAATTTTCCCTTTCGGCTTCTATAAAATTTTAACTAAGAAATCAATAATGTTCTCTTCTTCCTTTAAGGGTGTGGGTGGGTATGGGTATAAGTGTGGGCCTTGTATCTATTATTTATATCCGCATCAACACCCACATCCACACCCACCCACCACTCATGCCCCCACACTCACACTAATATCCACACCCTTGACGGGCATACGTTAGTTCCGAATTTCAGCTCCAAACAAGCTACGGTAGCAAGATGTTTTGTGCTGAATTGAAATATCATATTATCAAAAAAAAAGTGAAAGACGAACTCTTCTGCTCTAAAACCGTCAAGTACTGGTAAAAAGCATTCTATTTGTTAAGGTTAAGACCACTTATAAGTAAAGTAAATCTTCAGTCATTGTATATCAAGCTAAAAAATTATACAGCCACTAAGAGTTTATATAATTTCGTATTCACAAAATAAAATATTGGTAATATGGAGGAAAAAAATTTACCTTCTTAAGATAACTAAATTCAATTTTTTTCAAAAATATTACCAAATTAGAACGGCATAGACCATATTTTAGTAGGCAGGTAAATAAATGTTGTATACACTCCTACAAATTCTAAGAGAATGTGGGTGTGAGTGTTGATACGGATATAAATAATACATTCAAGACCCACACTCACACCCTCAAGATAGTTATTTTTTGCTGGAATATTGATTGGTCATTGTGCAAGCTTCACATCGATATCATTTAATCATTTACTCGTTTCACATATCATTTATTCATTTCATATATCATAATTTATGCCATCAAGTTGTTCCACACCTCATAATTTGTACAACTTATAGATTATATGACTTAAAATCAATGTGATTGAGACTGTTTCATACTCCATTATATCATGAACAATTATCATTTTACTATATCTCTCTTTTTGTCTCACCACTGTATACACGTTCTTATTCTTTTTCATATTTTCCTTACTTTAATTCAGTGGCGTAGCCAGGAATTTCTGAGTCATGGGCCATTTCCTAGCTAAATTATTTTTCAGATTGGGCAATAATGGGCAATTCAAAATCATTTGGGCTATAGTTTTTGCATAGTTATTAGCATCACAAACATTATGCTTCCTTAAGACAATTAAAACGGAAAAAGTCATAAGTTTTCCGATCCATTACCCTAAAAAATCAAAAGTGACGAGCAAAAAAAAAACGTTTTTACCAATTTTTTGGGCAATTTCTAT